ACCCTTGGCCTGACCTTAACCAGCTTCACCCAGGGCCAATCAGCAGAAGGCAACTTGAGAGATCTTGTAAGTGGTGATGTGGGAAGAGCAGTGACCTAGAAGCCACATGGCCCGGGCCTCATGTCAGCCCCATCTTTGTGCCTAACTAAGTGACCCGGACAAGTCACTTGACCTCTCTTGGCCCCTCTTTTCTCGCCTTTGAAATATAGTAGGCAAATGTAATGGAGTTAAACATATGTAATCATAGTAGACCCCAATCTGTATTATAAGTCAAACATTATTCTAAATCAATTACCTTTAAGGTGTCTTAAAGCACTGAAAACTCCACATACAGGAATGACAGAATAAGTCTGTTTTCTTTGTTCATTCTCCTAGTTTAGGTTGATAAATTTCCAAAAGTTGGTCAAGACACAAATTACTCTTTCATTAGAGAGGAAATACTAAATGGATGTTGTGCCATTGCTTGGATGCTATCATTCCTAAATTTAGGGTGCTAGGCACCAAATTTCAATTCTCAGTTATTCCTTCGTTCCCTTCCTCCCACTATGCTATTTTCTTTGGGTGGGAAATATCTCTGCCTGAACATTTGTTTTAATTTTTAAAAATCAGACTCACTGTGATACTTTGAAGCTTTCCACCGAGCTCTCTCTCTCTCTCTCTCTCTCTCTCTCTCTCTCACTCTTTCTCTCTCTCAGATAGCCCAGAACAAGGGCACCCAGGGCTGGTGGTGTTTGTAATCTTTCTTGCCTTGACTACCCACTTGGCATAGGAAGTATTTTGTTGTCATGGTTGTTCTATAAAAGACTCTGCATAGAATGCTGTCGTAAAGATGTATGTGTGTCTGTAGAAAGAGAAGTAATTCTGACCATTGGAAAACACTAGAGTATCTGAAACAAAGCTTGGATCTAAAATCATCTCAGGAAGTAGGGCTGAGCTATGCTTGGCCTGGGTAACTGTAGAAGTCAGTGTTTACAAGATAAAACAGCAAATTTCTAGTCATGAACCATAGGCAGTTTTAATTTTAGCTGAATTGAAACCCACATCATGAAAGCACCCGCTTTCTGTCTCAGCTCTAGTTTCAAGTGCTGTCGGTGAGAGCCCCAACATTTCGGTGGATCCCTTGAAATGATCTCCAGGGCTCTTCTGGGCAGGTGGCTTGACAGAAAAGTCCATTGTGTGAGCTCAGCCCACCAGGACTCCGTCTGCCTTAGGCTGTCAGCCATCCTCAAAGGCCTTGTTTGGCAGGGACCTGTCAAAGGGTCTCTCTTGACTCAGAATCTCATACTTTTTTAAATGGAGGGAAAAGTTACTTTCAGGGATGAGGTTCTTTGCCCAAATCTGCTTTGTATAAACACAGCCTGTATCTATTTCAATCTTCTGGTTTTGAGAAGCAACTGCTGAGTTGTGGCAAAGGGTGAACTGGTTGGTGTTGACCCAAATTAAAACGAAGAGTTTTCCTTTCTTGCAGCGCTGGAAGAAGGGAGACAGCATCATCGCCTAGGGAACAGAATGTGACTGGCCTGGAAAACAGGGAAATGAGTATGGGCCTCGATTTACAAAGAACCAGCTCTACCAAAGTCTAAACTTGTAGAAATGGAGACGTTGTGTCTGGAGTAAGAATTTTTACTCTACGGAAGGATAACATTTGGGTCATGTTGATGCATGATGCTGTGTATGTGAAAACCATGGATGTAATTCATTACAGGTCATTCTGCCTTGATTTTGAAGGGACAGACAACTATTACATGCAGCCTGGTGTATGCCCACGGGTGCTGTCTTTAACCCCCAGCAAGGAGGGTGTCCAGCCCAGCCCCTTTCCTGCTACCCACTGTCAGGAGCCTGTATGTCCACATGGATGTACTTTTTTATCAAGCATTCATCTAAGACACAAATCTAACAAATTACTATTGTCAATGCTGGGACACCAGTGATTTAAGGAGTAACTGTGAATACAAATTTTTTGAGAGTCAGCTCCCCGCTATTGTGTCCCTCAAATTCTGGCATATTCACAGAAGTAAACAAACAAGCAAACAAAAAAACCTTGCTGCAAAACAAAATCACCTTCTGCCAAGGGAAGCTGCCATAACACACAGAAGGTCTTTCATTTATCCATCTGTGTTATCAGTAAGGGCTCCAGACACAGGTCCCGAGAGTGGAGGACAATGATGGACACATGTTCTTCATGACCAAGGCTCCTGTGGTCTGTGGAGAGCTCAGGCAAATCAATAATTATAGCAGAGTGGTAAGTGTTGTCCAGTGGGAGTTTGGTGGAAGCCTTGGAGTTAGCCTTCCCCAAAATAGTGACCTCTGAGTTGGATCCTGGAGGACAGAATGGAGTGGGACAGAAGGAGCTGCTCCAATCAAGGAAGGAGTGAACCTCAGGCACGTGCTAGTTTTGCCACCTCCTTCGTTCTGTTAGCGCACGCGGAAGTCAGTCTTGCTTAAATGGATGGCCACTTGGCTTTGCAAACCTCATCCCTCAAGTTCCCTTCAGACCAACCACACCTGCTTTCCTCCTCACTCTTTTGTTTTGTTTTGTTCTTTTCCAAAGAAGAATCAAGGATGAGCCAATAAATGATGAGTCCAGGGTTTTACTGACAAAGCTCCCATGTTCAGCTTGGCTGAACACAGAAAAGCTTATTTCTTTCTCATCATGCAAAAAACATTTGCTTCAACAAAAAGTGGCTCACGCATAAGAACAAACAAATGTTTTGGAAGTCTTAATACGCAAATCTTATATGCTATTATTTAACGTTTTTAAAAATTGAGAAATTGTTTTTTAGTGAAAAAACATTGTAATTGTATCATTCCAGTACCCCAAAGGCTGGCTGGCTCGTCGTCCATCGCTGAAGGGTCAGTATCTTTGCTGTCAGAGCGAAGGGTGCCTATCACAGCTCCAATGCAGCAGAGGTGGTGGGAGAAATGGAAACAAAAGTGAGGGCCTTGGAGTTGCTCCTTTACAATCAACTAGCAGTTAGGAAGGATGTGGCTTTCTGGGGCTAATAAAAACAAATTTGGAGGCTTGTTTTGTCTTTGAAATTAAAGCTGTGTTTTAGTAAATCCAGTTGATGCCATTTAAACATGAACCCTGTGCCATTTCCTGGCTTACTGCAGCTTTTCTGTTTCTCTCGCCATTAGATCTGTTCAAAATAGGAACGTGGCATTTCCATGTTTCCAGAAAAGCAAATGTGAGCTGACTGGCCACATTTGCTGTTACGGTTTTCCTAGAGCCCTTATGATTGTTGTGGCAAATAAGATCCTTGTAACGTACAATTTCTAACTATACCGTGTTTGTGATCTATGCCCTCCTCCAGGTTTTGGTATTTGGTCAGTTGAGTTGATCTTACCCTGTTCCCTCCATGTTACAGAGTTTAACTGTATCATGCTGAGAGTTTGGTGTGTGCTCTATGCTGGAAGAAGAATATTCTCCTGAGTCAGATAAATATGTTCATGTGAGAGAACTGCTATACTTGAATTTGCTGCAGCATTTTGTATTGACGCATATATATGACACCCAGGCTGACTCAATGGCTTCTAAAACATTTAATGTCTCTTAAATGGACTCAATATCCTTGGAATGTGCTGTTTAAATATTTCTGAATTTTCTACATGCCATTTTTACAGGTCCATTTGTTTATGATGTGAAGTGGTAAAGAATCAATCACTTTCGTTGTGTGTGTGTCTGAAGAAAATAAATGTATATATTACTAAGAAGAATAAATTATTGAAAAATATACTTGATGGATCATGCAGCCCACTGTTGAAAAGGAATTTATTTTATTTCTTTAATAAAGTGATTGTTCAAATTATAAGAATTTATATTGTCCTTCTAAATATGGATGCCATAATATTTAAGTGTTGTTCAATCTTGATGTATGTTCAACATTGATATATGTTCAACATTGATGTATGATCTCTAATAAAATATTTTAAACCTCTTACTTTAAACACATATTGCCCAGTTCTTTAATCACAATCTATTGTTACTATGTCTGTTGAAAGTGGAGTGGCAGTTGGTGTCTTTAGCCAGCTAAATGGGGTAGGTTATACATAAGATATTCAAGTTGGCAGCATTCAGGGTTCAGGTAGGAGCCAAAATACAACTGCATTTAGAGTCAAGGAAAGGTGATAATGAAACTCAGATATATAAAAATTTTGAATGTGTTCAAGGCTGAATGTATTAAGTGACCCCAAACCAAAGCAATAGGTTAGGTGAACTAGTGGTCAGAGAAGGCCATGGGCAACACAGTTCAAGGGGAGTTTTACTGTGGAGATTCTAGTCTGACCATGATCTCAGAGCCTAGAAGCCCCAGCACCACCCCTTCAGCCCCATTCCCTCAATGGGACTCCTTGGCAGTGTGGTGTCATCATTGGGGACAAGACCACTAGAGTCAAATTGTCACAGGTTCCAAATTCTCTCAACCATTCACCACCTATGATTTCAACACAGAAATCCCATACTCCTAAAGCTTAGTTCTTTCTTCTCAAAAATAGGGACAATTACTGTATGTCAATGAGAGGATTGTGGAGATAATAAAATGAAACAATGCTGCAGCAAATTCAAAGTGTTTAGAAAAGTGCCTGATATCTAGTTAGCACTGAGCAATTACAGGTTGTTCATTTTTTTCTTGATGTTGCTGGTTTGGTTGTGGCTGTCATTTTAACTACCCCTAAAGGTAACATTACTTTTCTGGTGATGAAGAATCATTATTTTTTTGCCCAAAGCCCTTAGCATCTAAGTCAAGTAATAGCATCACATCTATACTGATTTGGGTTTTGCCAAATGATGTCATGTCTTGTGGGTGCTCAGCTGGTCATAATCCAGGCTCAATTAGCATGACTGTAGCCTCACTCCATGGGTCCCCACAAAAGGTGGGGAGTGGCAGGCAGATGGAGGGTGGGAGGGAATCCTAAGATACACAGAAGTTTGCAATTGTCCAGCCTTTGTTTTCATGGAGCTTGAAAGTGGTAAAACTAATTTTTAGACTAATATCATTGGTTTATCCAATGACTTCTCTTTTTAACGTATTTTTTGCCTCAGGTTATAGACTCTGGAAGAGAAAGTGGAGATACTGTTAATGTTAACACTCATTGGTTCCTATGAAGGTAAAAAAAAAAATGTTTAAACTATGGCCATAATAACGTCAGGGCCACGTCTCTGCTGTGCATTCTACTGTGACTAACGCTGTGGAAAGCCCTGTTCTAATGGGTTCAAATGCATCACCTCATTTAATGTTCATCATCCTATAAGGAAGTGCTAGCAATCAAATTAGGGTGCATTTGGCTGGAAGCAACAGAATACCCATTTAAAAGTGGCTCACATTGTCTTATGTGACACAACTTGTAACACTATCCTATATAATAAAAGGCTAATATGCAAATAGACCAAATGGCGGAACAACCAGAAAAACTGGCCACTATGACATGCGCTGACCACCAGGGGGCATGTGCGGAACATGGCAGGTGTCAGCTGTAGTGGGATGCTGGAGCAGGTGATTAGGGTGCCAGACCAAGGTGGGGCGCTGGTCACTGTCATTGGGGCCAACCTCTCATGGTTACTGTAAATTCTTTGTGCCAGAGCCGCTGCTCACACTCGCTGCTGGTGCCCAGTGCCAGTCCCAATTGCTTGGCGCCATCAGTGGGTGTGAGCAGTGGCTGCTGGCCCTGATCGTCCTTAAGGGCTTCTCCAACTCCCCTTGCTCCTGAGGGGTGATCGGGGCAGCAGCCACTGCTCACACCCACTGATGGCACCTGCTGCTGGTGCTGACCCTAATTGCTCTGCACCATCAGCGGGTGCAAGCGGGCCCAGTGTTGTCAGCACGTAGGAGCTATGGTGGTGGGAGCAGGACTGCCAGCAGACAAGAGACTTGGAGTCGCAGCAGGAGGAGCTGGGCAGGGGAGTGGAGGATGGGCTAAGACCTGCTCCTGTGCCTTCTGCAACCTCGTGGCCCACAGTTCCTTTCAAGGTACACAAATTCATGCACTGGGCCCCGAGTTATCAATAATTTTGCATGAAAACATTTATTTTTGAAAATGCTCTGCAATCAAACTACCTGGGTTTGAATCCTATTCTATGAGGTGTCAGTAAATGTTTAGCAGCCAGCACTCCAGAAAAAAACACACACAAAAAAAACACAAATAAACAGAAAAAAACACAGAATTTGCAAATTTGTCAATTCCTGTGGTGTAAATTCTCTTACAATAACACATATCAAGCTACCAACTTGACATCATTGAAGATGTGTTGGGGAGAGATGTACACAATCATGTCTCTGGATCCTGTACGAGCCAACATCAGCACCCCACTCCTGCCACTTAGTAGTATGTGGCCTAAGCCTACCTGTATGTTAATTTCCTTATCTGTAAAACGAGATAATGGTTATACCTTCTTCATTGGAATAATTCATGTAAAGAAGTCCTGTGCTTCATTCTATCAGTAGCAATGGATGCTAGTTATCATTGTTATTGTTAGTTATTGCTAATATAGGCACAACACAGAAACCATCTCAGAAAAGAAAAGTGTTCATCCTTACTCAATTTCTAGAACAACTCTTCTAATTGTGATCCTTCTTCAGACATTACACAGCATGACTCCTCATCCCCACCCACAATGAGTGTGTTCGTCTCTGTTTCAGACTCCAAAGTTTTTCAGAAAATTCTGGTTTTTTTGCATTTTTGCTTTAAATGAAGTACTTAATGATTTTATGAACCAGTTTTCTCAAAGAGCCTTTTAATGCCAAATCATTCTGCCAGGCTATTATTTTCTCTCCTGTTTATAAATGAAAATGCCTCCAGCAGAATTTATGAAAAATAATTATTCTGTTGTGTAGGTGGACAGAAAAACGACTACCCCCATACTCACTCCTCACTTTATTCTTATGTTCTAATCCATACCCTCCTTTCAAAGATAATATAAGCATATATTAAACTAACTAAATAAAAGTGCCTCAGTATCTGGGGTTGGGTTGAGTTTTAGGGTCCTGAGTGGCACCCACACCCACCCTGCAGGTCTCTTCTGTGGGAACACTATATGTAGAAAGATAAGAGCCAATGGGAAGAAAATACAATGTTTATTAATTCCCAGAATATCTCTATTCCACTCCAGGTTTCTTACACCCACTTAATTGATTCTAAAATGTCCAGGTTTGAGGAGTAAGGCACTGGTAGGAAAGCTGACATTGAAGCATAAGTACGGCCACATGTGCTTCTGGAATGGGGTGAGGTATGGATGGGCAAGAATGAAGTCCTGCCCACTGAGGATGCAAGGCCTGAGAACCACCAGCAAGAATAGACAGTTCTCGGTTTTGCTGGTAGGAGGCAGGGGAGGGGTCGTAAGGACAAAGGACGACAGTGAAACAAGGGCAGTTTCTTCTCTGTGGGCAAAAGCACAAGGATAGAAGCAGACATCCTTCCCACCCTCCCCACATAAATACCATATGTGGGTATAAGTGAGAAATTAATAATTCCGTCCATGCTATCACAAATCACAAGCTTTTGCTCTTTCATGGCCGAGTAATATCCCATTGTACCACATCTTTTTTATCCATTCGTCTATTGATGGACACTTGGTTTGCTTCCATATCTTGGCTATCATAAATAATGTTGCAATGAACATGGGGGTGCACATATTCTTTCAAATTAGTGTTTTGGGTTTTTTCAGATATATAGTGAAATAAGCCAGACATAGAAAAACAAATGCATGTGATATCACTTATATGAGGAATCTAAAGAAAAAAATTAATGAACAAACAAAATAGAAATGGACTTA